AAATTTGTTTTGGGTAAATCTAACAGGCAATCTTTGGTCTCATGAATCTAGTATTTCTTCCAGGTCATATCATTTTGGCTGAGCACAAAGTTATGTTTAATAAATTATATATTTATTAATCGTAATACAACGCTGACTTTGTTGCATACATTTGACCAAATTGTTTGCTTTTGTCTTTATTTCCTATTATATAAATCACTTATACTTTATACTTATTCTTTTATAATGGCTATTTTGTTCATTAAAACTGACGTTTAACAAAAAAGGCAGAGCTGTGCTTGTCATATTTCATTTTTTATAGGCTATACAGTGAAAATAATCAGAGTATATGTGCACATATGACCTAAATCACATATTAATATGTTTTATATTTTTAAAATGAAAACGAAATGAGTTGTGTTTTATATTTAGATGAAAACGACAAGGCAGTGGTGCTTGATATCATTTTGTTTTATTGTAATGCATCTATTTGTTGCATGAACCACATTTTTGTGAGCCTATTAATATTTTAAATGAAACAGAAAAGATGCAATGCTGTTTGATATAACATTTAGTTTCACTGTAATGTTATGTACGTTCCCTGAACTAAATTTTTGTGGCTATTAATATGTTTAAATGAAAACGAAAAGAGGCAGTGATGTTTGATATAATATTTCGTCATATTGTATACATACAGTGTAGATAACCGGAGTAGCCAAGGCAAGCTGACTGACGTTATCAAGTACACTGCTGTTCCATTTGCAGAATTACCAGACTTGTGTCCTCCCATCTGAGTCGAACTTGTGAAGTCCGAACTACCGAGGATGCAAGTCCAAACTTTTCGTACTTGGTATTGAGAAACGGCTATACAAAATGAGTAGGGCTGCGGGTACTCCAGGACAGGTTTGAGAACCACTGAGCTAGACCTATCGGACTGCGCCATCTAGAGTTTCATGCCAGAACTCTGTATATATATGAAAATATTTTATATATTTTATACATTCAGTTGATCAGCAGTTTCTAGCCATGCAGTCTTTCTCTTTATGACGAAATTAAATCAAAATTGATATATTTGCATGACTTTCTAACATTTACAGATGAAGAATATAACTGTGACATGTCAGGTATGCATTGAGGAAAATACAACGTCTCAAATGCATTAAACAGCACAAATGTATTCGCTGTTTGCCATGGTGGATCAATTTGATCCACGATCGACATTAAGAGCTCCTTAAGAATAAGCGTGCACAAATTAGTGAGAATTTAGCTCTTTTATATGCTAGTGACATTATTAAAGGGGTGTTTACAAGGTGGAGATCTGAAACCATTTAGCTGTACACAATTTCACGAAAATATTTTATATATTTTATACATTCAGTTGATCAGCAGTTTCTAGCCATGCAGTCTTTCTCTTTATGACGAAATTAAATCAAAATTGATATATTTGCATGACTTTCTAACATTTACAGATGAAGAATATAACTGTGACATGTCAGGTATGCATTGAGGAAAATACAACGTCTCAAATGCATTAAACAGCACAACTGTATTCGCTGTTTGCCATGGTGGATCAATTTGATCCACGATCGACATTAAGAGCTCCTTAAGAATAAGCGTGCACAAATTAGTGAGAATTTAGCTCTTTTATATGCTAGTGACATTATTAAAGGGGTGTTTACAAGGTGGAGATCTGAAACCATTTAGCTGTACACAATTTCACGATTTCACATTTGGAAGAGAGACAGGTTTCTACGCAACACTTTATAAACAAGGCCCCTGATCGTCTCTGTTGTCCCATGGGTTTCCGCTGGACTCCAATGGATTCTGAAATGCCACAAGAAATGCCGTCTTTCAAAGAAATTCCACAAGGTGTCAGGATTTCTCATGTCTGTATCAGTAAGTCCACAAGTATCATGTATTTGTGTGTCCAGTGCTTCTACAGAATTTTTTTTCTGGCTTGTTTTTCCAGATTATATATATATATAAAATCTGGAAAAACAAGCCAGAAAAAAAAGAACTAAAAAAAATAGACGAACATACAGCTTCCCTTAGGTTGGAGTCAGACCTGTTCATCCTCTAGTAAGGTAATTTTGGGTACTATACTCACATTTGACGATATTATTTGCTATCTGTAAGTCTCCTGTGTCACACTGGAGCAAACAACAGCTATAACAAGCTCTTTTCTAAACCCACTCAGGTGTCTGGAGTGGGCTTTCAGTTAGTATTCAAGACCATCTGTTAACAGATTTAACCAGCAGCATATTTACATTTTACTCCAGTCTCAGGAAATCATTTTTTCCAGATTATATATATATAATCTGGAAAAACAAGCCAGAAAAAAAAGAACTAAAAAAAATAGACGAACATACAGCCTCCCTTAGGTTGGAGTCAGACCTGTTCATCCTCTAGTAAGGTAATTTTGGGTACTATACTCACATTTGACGATATTATTTGCTATCTGTAAGTCTCCTGTGTCACACTGGAGCAAACAACAGCTATAACAAGCTCTTTTCTAAACCCACTCAGGTGTCTGGAGTGGGCTTTCAGTTAGTATTCAAGACCATCTGTTAACAGATTTAACCAGCAGCATATTTACATTTTACTCCAGTCTCAGGAAATCACGCTGCTCATTGCCAAAGTCTGCTAACATGAAATAGAACCAGACACGTACTGTATGGAGAGACTCACATTTATTTGAGGAAAAATGTAACAAGTACTGGGAAAATGTATGCATATACACCATTTGGAAAAGTGGTATATTTTATGTCAAGGTGTATGCTGAAAATGTTCTGTGACCTGACATTGTAACACCCATGATGACCTTTGGTTCTTTGTTTTCAATAATAATAACATTCAACTTCTCTTTAAAAAGTTGTGATGATAAAAATATGCTACTCTTCCCGGGGTTCACGTCAAGAGAGATGAAACAGCCCTCCTACAGTATGAAGACATAAACTCCACTTCCAGGAGACTGTCCACTGCGGCAGGGGACACACATCAGGCACGTCTGTGAACACAGCCCTGGCACCCGGTCAGGTGATGCTCAACCACACCTTTGGGAAGTCCAGTGTCCACTAAACAGGGTGATGTTTAGATCCTTGAGTTTGGTGGAGCCTGAAGAGAACTAAAGTCAAAGCAGCAGTCTCATAATGTCCTGTGAGTAGTGACACGCTATTGCCTGTAGTCTGCACTGAGTCAATTAGTCATCTGTGCTCATTCTAACTGATGGAGGAAGGTGCCAAACAAGGAGAGCTACGGTAAGGTTTTGTACACCAGTGGTGTAGTAGTGGTTTGATGTCTTTTTAACAGACCGCTTGGCTACAAAGGTAACCGTACTCAAAGTTCAAAGTAATCTGATAAATGTCGATGAGGCCAGGATCCGGAGAGTTGTCAGTCCTTCATCTCTGAGCAATATCTGTGTTTGCTTGTGAACTACAGTGACGATGACTGAGGTGAACGCTCTGAGGATGTGGGAGGGATGATCCAGCTCCAGTCCCAGTAGAGGATCAGTGATGTTGGTGTCACACCAGATGGTGTTACGTGAAAACACACTTCTGTTGGATCCTTGTGATGAGTGGGAAAGACTATAGTCGGCCCATATCGGTCAACCGGAGAGCGTTGAGGTCCTGGGAACTTTAGGCCAGGGACGAGGAGAATACCGTGTAAGAGTGATGATCTGTGTGTGCTGGATCTCAGACTATCTGCTTAAGTCTTTCTGGAACATTTGAACAGTGCTCGTTCTGTCTTCTTGTTCTGATTCTTCTGTACATCATAGTTCATACTTACGGTAGAATTATACAGTGTCACTCTAATATCCTCATTGACTCACAAGGGCATGCTATAAAATCATAATCATAAGAACCATCAAAGATATACCAACATTACTCTATTTATTTAATAGAAATTATTCTGTGTGTTGTTGCTACAGAAAAAGTAATAGAAAAACAGGGCACAAATGTTGAAATTTACTAAACATAAATACACTAACCGGACTGAAAGACCATACTGTGTGCACTACTGCACTACACTGATGTATTATCTGAAATATTAACAAACTATTTTACTTAAGCTGTGATGCTGTAATTTTTTCTTTATTTTCCAAGAAAACAAAGACAAAATAAATCTGTAACCCAATACTATATAACTGAACAAAGATGCTCTATCCTTTTATTTTAGCAAAAAAGGCAACAAATGTAAAAAGCAACAAACGCAAGCAAGATGGGTTGATGCGCTCTTGACCTATGATTAAGAGTGCATCACATTTGAATTCATTAAAAACATAACTAAATAAAAACAATAATAAGACAGCTCTTAGCATTTCCACGATCACATACATAGGTTCTCAAAGGACAGGCTGTGAGACTGATTGAAGGTAATTTTACCCAATGTGCTTAGGGCCATTCAATAAAGTTATTTTATAAAGAGTAGCATGGAGCAGGGGAGAGAACTACATTTCTCTTTTGAACTCTGACCAGAGCACAGTCTGGCTTAATGCTGACTTTACAAATTAGTAAGGCTTTACTTTTTCTGTCATGGTTTTTTTTACAGCATGAGGTAGTTTAAAAAAAGAAAACTCAAAACTGGGCTACAGACCACATATGTGTAACGTCTCTTTTAAAAAAAGTACATTGAATAGTGTGGCATAATAGGGCTGAAAAAACCTAACTTTAATGCATGAACACATATACACAAATAAACAATTAGATGTCAATTGTTGGAAAAGAATGCAGGGTGTTTCATAAGATTAGCACCATTGATTATGTTTTAATGTACAGTAATTTACATACACTGTGGTGATAAGAAAGACGAACACTTGCATGTGATTGTCAAAGTTCAGGCTTTTGTAAAATGTGTGAGTCCCATAATTATAGATGAACATGATAAAATACTTAGTGTGGGACTCACTGATGTACAACTCTTGATTCAAATGCACAGGGGGAAACAGCACCTTAACAATAAATAAATAAAACCAAGACACACTTTTACTGCTGTCTTTTTCTCTGGCATACTCCCTTATGTAGCGTTCCATTGGATTGTGAGATGTTCCCAGAGTTCTGACCAGACGCTGGAGATGGAGAGTGCCGAGGGTCAGGGAATGGCAGGTCAGTCACAGATGAGTACCTCTAGTGTCTACCAGTGCATATCCTAAAAAATACTTTCGGAAGCACTTCTTATCTAGTCATAAAGATGTCCCACTTAAAATGTCTAGTTCTTTAGTTTCTCTCTTTCTTTGTTCCTCGCTCTCGAGTGTGTGTTATAGCTCTCATTTGTTCTGTATCCCAGTTTCATCTGTTCCTCTTTCTTTACAAGAAACAGACGGCACCCACATCCACTCCAAATTCCTGATTTGCTCCTCCAATATCCATAGGCGCAATGTCCACAATGGGTAGGCGTGAAGTCTTCTGGGATTTGTACTCGATGACCGTCTTGCTCCATTGTCCTGTGTGTTTCTGTGTTGACAAAAAAACCCCGCAGCTGTAAGGAGTGTTTACACAGAACATGTTTTTGCATTCTACTAAACTGCTTGTCTGTTTTTAGAAAGCAGTGTAACAATATTTCCTGAGTTTGTGAATCACATTATACTGGTAGCACTGTATGTTTGTTGTTGAATACAACCTGTGAGGACAAAAACACAAAAGCCTTGTTGTCTACTTGCTCTCCAGGTATTAAGATGAGTTTTTGTTGATCCGATCACAAGTGGTCAATGCTAAATACAGGTGTGAACGGGCTCTAACATGTTTTGAGCTTGTCCACTTCTGACCACTTCCAGAGGAAGTTGAAAACGCATATGAAAATGTGTTCGAACAGCCACTAAAATCCACCTACTCTCGCTGACTGAGCTAATTCTTTAAACATTACGATGTTCATTTCCTATCCGTTTACTGACGTAATTAGAATGCACACAACATATCATTTATAAGCACTGATAGATGTTTATAGGCTTATGTTTTTTTTAAACGAATGCCATTATAATTTGTGTTAAATTTTATAATTGTATATATCATTTTGCACTATAATTTTATAGCTTCTTACATTTTCTGATTTTTTTTCATAGTGCAATTCTGACTGATATGTCTTAACAGAATTTTTATCCATGCAGTGCACTTTTTAAAAATAGCTTTATAAATATGTAAATTGCATGAGTTTATTTCACAATATTAGATCGAAAGATCAGAAAAAGCCCACATTCACTGGCCCACAGACCCTCTCCTCAAAATAAATACCGAGTTGGTTGAAAGTGGACAGAAGAGATGGATTAAAACAGCAAGTGTGAACAGGAATGTGTCTCCCTCGTCTATTTGTGAACTGATCGACCAAAACACATCTTAATACCAGGTGCAATACAGGGCCTTTGCTTCATTTTGCTGCACTGAATCAGCTCTAGAACTATTATGGTTACATTCACTTATAGTATTATTATTATTATTATTATTATTAAATTCTTAAATCCCAAGCCTGGTCAAAAGTGTTTCTTTACCTTGCAACCATCCTCAAGAACACTATATGTGAAGCGGCTGTTGCCCTCAGCTCGGATTTCCACATTATTGGATCCCTGCAGCAGCAGAGCTTTCTTCAGGTTGCCAGTGGCCTCATCCATATAGGCAACGCTGTTCTTGCAGTGGTAGGTGAGGTTCTTGTGAACTGATCGACCAAAACACATCTTAATACCAGGTGCAATACAGGGCCTTTGCTTCATTTTGCTGCACTGAATCAGCTCTAGAACTATTATGGTTACATTCACTTATAGTATTATTATTATTATTATTATTAAATTCTTAAATCCCAAGCCTGGTCAAAAGTGTTTCTTTACCTTGCAACCATCCTCAAGAACACTATATGTGAAGCGGCTGTTGCCCTCAGCTCGGATTTCCACATTATTGGATCCCTGCAGCAGCAGAGCTTTCTTCAGGTTGCCAGTGGCCTCATCCATATAGGCAACGCTGTTCTTGCAGTGGTAGGTGAGGTTCTGCGAAGCCTCTGTGGACAGCAGTCTTAGGAAAATCATCTGAATGCTTGCTGTGTTAGGTGCCAGATTGTCGTCTCCATAGCCAAACTGGGGATAGAAAATGGAAGAAAATACATTAGACAGAGATGATCTAAATCCTAAAGAACAGTTCTGAATAGTCCTGAATCCAACTCAAGGGTCAACAGGACCAGAAAGAGAAAGACTCACATGGAATCCACCATTCATGGCTTCTCCAAACCAAACGTGTTTGCGCTCCACACCCTTGGAAGTCCACCAGGTCTTGCGTGGGATATTGGCAGGTTTAGGATGAACGCAGGTCTCGCCGGTCTCCATGTTGCAGAACACCTTCATAGCATCTACGGTGCAGCCCTGGTTAGGATCAATCCAGTATTCACCTACAGAGAGACATAATTTTATTTACAGCACATATCCCCTATACTTTATCAAGGCAGAAGCCAACCCTCCCACATAAGGCCTGCTCATGCCTGCGGGCCAAACTCACCGCTCTTCCAGTCTGGGTGGCAGTGTTTCAGGTCTCTGCAGGTCCGGGCCGGGCTCTTTTTAGTACCATCAGGACTGCGGATGTTCTCGATCTGGTTGTTCAGGGATTTCAGAGTGGCATCGACCTCTGCATCATGCTGAATGTTACCTTCGGTGGCTTGGTCTGCCCTCATGTACCTCAAGGGATCAGGAACCTTTTCAGGATGAGACAGACCAGCGAAAGCAGACATGTCGATGCCAGGCCCTGGTGGGCCAGGGAGACCGGGGGGACCAGGGTTTCCTGGGTGGCCCTGAGGAGAAGCAGTGTATTTACTGTTAAACAAATGGCCTTACATTTCGGCAAACTTTTTTTAATCCGAATTTTTAAGACCAGCATTTCCCAACCCTGGTCCTAGAGTATCCCCAACACTACACATTTTGAACGTCTCCTTTATCTGGCACACCCATTTCAGGTCTTGGAGTCTCTACTAACTGGCTTGATTCAGGTGTGTTTAACTAGGGGGGCAAACCAAATGTGAAGTGTTGGGGATAATGCTGTATAGATCTAGTCTTCGCTTTGCTACTCACAGCTGGCCCAGTCTCTCCAGAACGGCCACGAGGTCCAGGGGGTCCGATGGGTCCAGGCAAACCATTGGTTCCATCTTTTCCAGCTGGACCAACAGGGCCTGGGGGTCCCTGGAAAGAGTCAGAAGTCTAAGTCTCATCGCAGCATCACTCGTTTGCATAATACAAGGGTGTCCAATCCTACTCCTGTAGGGCTGCTGGCCTCCAGAGTTTAGTTCCAACCTGCTCCAACATACTTGCCTGTACCTTTCAAGTAATTTTTGGGCCTCATTTTTTAAATGTTGCATAACCATCCCACATAGCCACAAGGAAAAGTGTGTACATCTGCTTAAACCCTGACATGGTGCTTTTCAATGTCAATGATCTTTTAAAATATGAACGTTGCTGTGGGTTTTTAGCATAGGTACACTCTAAGATCAATTTTTATAAATGAGGCCCCTTGTGTTTGATTAAGGTTGGAGCTAAACTCTGCAGGGTTTGACACCAGTGTAAATACAGATGCAGTAATAATGTTCCTGGCTACATACTCTTGCTCCACCGGGTCCAGCAGGTCCAGAAGCTCCTTGGTCACCAGGTTGCCCCTGTGTGTGGAGTGTTATCACATTACATCTTACCTCAGTATCTGCATATGGAATACTTTAGCTGAATATGTCACAAAGAAATAGCAACTTACAGGAGGCCCAGGCAGACCTTGAAGTCCAGTGAAACCTCTGTGTCCTTTCTGTCCTCTCTCACCTGAATCGCCAGCCTCTCCCTTATCTCCACGCGGGCCTTGTGGACCCTGTAATTAATGGACATGAGCATTGCAACTCTACATTAAATCTATAAAGTCTACATTCAATTTTTGTGCATAAATTGGCAAATTGACAATTGAAAGCAGAATCAAGTAAATAAATCAAGAAAAGGACCAGACTGTTACTCATGTGTGGCAAGAGAAGCACTCACAGGCATTCCCCGAGCTCCAGCAGGCCCCAGAGATCCAGCAGGTCCTTTGGGTCCCTACAGTTAAAGGTAATGAGTGTATCAAGTGCGTTCTATGTAAAATGTCATCTTTTGGCTTAAAATCACCTATTGTAAATTATAAATCCTTTTTTTTGTCTAGTCATTTCCAGTAGTGTATTTTTGGAAAGGCCTGTGCTTTCCACTCTTTTACTATGTATTAATGGCAGCTTTGAGGCATAATCCCATCCAGCCATACCACTTTCCAGAAGCAACATCACATTTTAAGCGAAATTTAACTAGGAAAGCTTGGAATGTCTCAATTTTGATTGGTGTTTTTATAGCATTTGCATTGCAGGAAAGTCACTCATACACATTCCACACTGTTGAGAAAAATGACATGAGTATCGATACTGAATTTATTTATTTAAATAGCTTTCATTAATTTCAAACTGAGAACATTTATGGTAAAAAATCTCAGATCTCTAGGAATCTGTACTTACGGCCTCTCCTCTGTCTCCCTGTTTGCCGGTGGGTCCGACTGGACCAGGAGCACCAGTACCACCTGGAGCACCAGGAGCGCCAGCTGGACCAGTGTCACCTCTGTCACCCTGAACAGAACACAGACCGTGATGCAGTGAGTCAGCAAGCATAACTCAGACCACACAACAACAAGGACAGCTTGGTGAAACCACGTCTATGGAGGCCTTATAAGAAAGTAGATGGATATATACATCCTCTTTGATGCCCACCTTTATTCCTGCAGAACCGTCTCGGCCAGGAGGACCATCAGATCCGGGATTGCCCTGCAAAAAAAAAACAATTATAATATTAAACTCGCTGTGAGCGCTTTATGTATGTACAGCATGTATGTGCGTACTGATTAATCTCAGCTTCAAGACAACAAGCAACTGTGTACAAGGCATCTAAACTCCATTTGTTATTGTTTTATACCATTGTTATTTTTATACACATTTGTTGATTGGTTTTCATGTTTGTTGGGAAACGGTAAAACTGGTCTATATTGGTTGCGTTCTTTTTTTCAGATTTATGAAAAAAATTGCATTGCTTAACCAGTAAGTGTGTGAAAGCTTTTAAAATTTGCATTAAGTCCATAAGAAATGTTCAATCATTCATTACTCAGTCATCCAAACGGCCCTAACCATGTAAACGCTTAA